GAGATTAGATAAAGAGCTGGCAGTTTTCACTATAATAGTTAAAAACTAGATAATGTAAAGGCAATTTGCGGAAAATTTCACTCAAATTGATCCACTATGAACCGGGATTTTAGCGATTGAATTTTTCGCCTAACCTCGATCATCATTACTAAAGTCGGTACGATAAAAAAAATATAGTCTCGATTATCCATTTCATGATTAAATCATGAATGAAAGTTGAGCAGTAAATGGGATCCTAATCTAGTAAATATCGCAGGTTAGCGTTGAAATCGAGAGTTGATTGTGGTCTGGTTAAGTTAATTAATGTCTAATTAATAATTTAGATAACATTTCAGGCCTTAAGAAAGACCTGCAATAAGCAGATTTAACTCTTGCATAATGTATGTTTAATTGAGATCTCTTGTCATTTATGTGGATATAGCTCTGTATCTGAATCGGCAGAAATTGCGTGTTTACAAAATTTATTAGGCCAATGATTAATCGGTTGTCGAGTCAATATTTCTATGACATATGTTGTTAATATTTATCGCCAGAATATTTGACATTAAACCATACAGGGGTCGACAGAGGTTGTCACTAATTTGCTCGTGCAAATGCAACTGTTTCCTGGATAATCAATACGAAATAATAATAATAAAAAGAAATGGGGTTTAACGTCCTACTACTATTTGTCTGCACCGACTGGCCTGTTAAAGACGGGCATTCGCCATACAGTCTGCTATAAGGGAAATTTTGCCCGGGCAGTCTATTCTTATTTCAAATTATTTAAAACAGAGCAAACAATGTTACAGTTTAGAATGTTCGACGTGGCGATTCGATTTTAGTCTCTCAAAGCCGAGATCAAACTTTGTTGTCTTTAAGAATTTTCCATTTGTGTAGACTTGTGTAAATTTTACCACTGACATGACAGCCCAATCGCTTCTACCCCTCTTCTTTATTGGCGACACAGTTAATACCTCATTATTGTTTGTGACGTAATACAGACGACCATAATGACGACTGGTCAGTTTGACGAAGACTGATTGATAGTAACGTCTATTTGTAGTAGATAATGAGCAAACGGCTTACCGCACCTGCAATACAACGGACACATCGAACTTAACACTGCCATGATCATCTAATAAATTATATCTAGGATGTAAGTAACCATCTTTTTAATCTGATTTTTCGTCGTTTTTTCTTAATGTTTCTGCATTGATGTAAAAGTACACAATTCGCTAAAGGATGTTGCGCGAAACCCGTTGGCTTTCTTTGATGAACGCCCGTTGTTATAATCTCACAAGAATTAAGACGTTTTAAGGTTTTAGACCGTTACGATCACTAAAAAACCCCAGCTATATGCGAGGTAACCCCCAGTTTCACCATGTATCCGGTTTGGCTCAGTTCCTTGCGCTTGACGCTCCTAATAAAAATCGTATCGCTTATATATATTTGATTCAACGTTTAAGTATCGTAACTAATTTATAACAGCCAAGATTGATTTAGCCCGCTGCTTGCACTTTTATTTGTTTTGTTTTTTGTTATGGAAGTGGGGGTGTTAAAGCTGCAATTTCATATTTTTAAGTTATATTTTTAAAATGTATTAAAACAAGCCAACAGTGAGGCTGATGTCCCCCGCCGAAATTGCAAAATAAATAGATGACACATATTAATTAATCGCACATTTATTTTTTTCACTAAGTTTCATCACTCTCTATCAGATAGAATCAAGATTATCTTGTCCCAAACCATCGACAAATGAAATCGATTAGCTCTGCTTAGCTTCAGCTCGAAATGTTAATTATTGAACTCAGTCAAGACATTCACCTAATGAACATCTACATATACATCAAGTTTAAACATTCACCTAATAGACACCTATGCCAAGTTTGAACATTCTACCTCAATTAGAAGGAGAGTTATTGTGTTCCAAAGTTTCTACCAATCAAATTGCTTATCACTCTGCTTACCCTCAGCAAAAAAATGTTCATTATCGAACTTAGTTAAGGTATTCATATAATAAATCTATACACCAAGTTTCATCAATCTCACTTAATTAGAACTAAAGTTATCGTGTCCCAAAGCATCAACCAATCAAATTGCTTATCTCTGCTTACCCTAAGCGGAAAATGCTCATCTTCGAACTCCATCAAGGCATTGACCTAATCAACACATACACCAAGTTTGAACATTCTAGCTCAATTAGGAAGAGAGTTATCGTGCCCCAAAGTATCAACCAATCAAATTGCTTATCTCTGCTTACCCTAAGCGGAAAATGCTCATCTTCGAACTCCATCAAGGCATTGACCTAATAAACACATACACCAAGTTTGAACATTCTAGCTCAATTAAAAGATATCGTGTCCCAAAGCATCAACCAATCAAATTGCTTATCTCTGCTTACCCTAAGCGGAAAATGCTCATCTTCGAACTCCATCAAGGCATTGACCTAATCAACACATACACCAAGTTTGAACATTCTAGCCCAATTAGGAAGAGAGTTATCGTGTCCCAAAGCATCAACCAATCAAATTGCTTATCTCTGCTTACCCTAAGCGGAAAATGCTCATCTTCGAACTCCATCAAGGCATTGACCTAATAAACACATACACCAAGTTTGAACATTCTAGCTCAATTAGGAAGAGAGTTATTGTGTCCCAAAAAGTGTGACGGACAGACAGACGGACGGACGGACAGACAGACGGACAGACGGACGAACCCATTTTAATAGTCCCCTGCTTTCTTCGAAAGGCGGGGGACAATAAACCCTTAAAATAGATGGTATCTATAAACAGTCCTACCTTGTTAGAGAATAATCCTATTAATCCTATAATTCACTATTGCCAGTTGAGAAATTGGCAAACATATCATTTTCAACTTCAAATTCAAACGTTTGAAGATAGCTATTCCATGGGGGGAATAGAAAAACAAGGGAGGTAATTGTGTTATTCTTTCCGGGGTCAAAGGATTTTGGTGTTGTTATTTATTTTCTTCCTCGTTAATATTAGTTCTGTATTGTATATTATGCAGACCCACTTCAGTTGCTAAATTTCAAAGGGGTTTAGTTTGGTAGTGGTAAGGTACCATGCCAAACTGGACACCAAGCCAACCATGTGCGGATCCAGTGGATATATGGGGTTTATCAGGGGCCTGCCTCACTGCAGGAATTCAAGCCCCCACCCCCCGTTGATATATAACTAACTAAAATATAAAATAAGTGAAATATGTATAAAAAGGTATTACTTTACGATCTTATTACAGAAAGAAATGATGGAGATTAGACGATGTCGATATATTGGTATTATAATAATTGTGGTTGGTCTTTGTGTATTGGTTACAGGACAAAGACAGAATATCAGTGAGTATAACGAACATGAAATGGGGTTTAACGTCCTACTGTTTTGCAGCGATTGGGCTAACGAAGGCTATGTTATGAGGGAAATTTTGACCAGACAGCGGCGCTACGGCCTACTCTTATTTCGAATTCCAACCTTTACACGGGACTTGTCCGCCAACCTTTCGGTCTTTTGTACCATCCGAACGACTAGACGCTGTCGATGTCAGGCGTTGCGTTCTCGACCAACACCGGGATCGAACCCCAGACTACTTGGTTATAAGCCAGTGCCGTAGCCGTTGAGCTACCGGGATCCCTAGTAAATAATTTCGTAAATTCAAAAAAGATCGTATACTATAGGCGAGGATCGGAGGCTTAATAGACCACACGCATATGGAACAATTAAGCTACGTATCTTTTTAATACTTCGCTTTGTTTTTATTACTCAATTAATGATACGATTATATAGAAAACGGGCCAAACTTGGCAGCTTTCGTAACAAACAAACTTGTTGGATGTGTGAAAAACAGGCGAAGACCCTAGATTGAATAGGCCATACGCGTATGGAATAAATCATCTAGATTACGTATATTTTTGATACTTCGCTTCATTTTTATTACACACTTACTGATACGATTAATAGAAACGGACCAAGCCGTTAAAGTAGACCACACCTTTAATATGCTCTTGCAGCTTTCGTAACAGACGAACAAACTGCTTTGGTGTGAGAAAAACATCTACAATCAAGCAAATCTGTAATGCCCCATACAAATTTATAAATATATACGATTTTCTATTTTGCAGACCGACGTCGAGTTCAACTGCAGCAGCAGCAGTCAATACGACAAAACAATTTGATCAGATCGAGACAAAATGGCGGAGGACAACGATTACAGGGAACTGGCAATTTTAATACAAGAAATAATAATGCTAGAATCCAACAACGTAATAGATTACAACAATCTATAAATCAAAACCAAGGATCTATTAATCTATTACAACAACCAAGTAATATAGTAAGGACCAGGTTACAAAATAATCAAAGACAAAATATGAGACCTGTTTTACAAAACTCAAACAGAATTCAAAATTCTAATTCATTTACAACGTTGCAACCTGTCCGTTCGACACCAAAAAACGTGCAACAAAGAACCAGTGGTCAAAATTCTTTTCAAGTAACTACATTACAACCTATTTTTTCAACTCAGCCAAATGTTCAAAACTACACTACAATAAACGATAGTAATACTATAAAATTAAGCGAGGGTGATGGCCGTCAACAACATGGTCACAATTTGCAAGGGATCCAACAGCAGCAACCACTGCAATCACAAAAGCAGTACCTACAACCACAAGAACACCGCCTGCCTGGGAGCCTGCAGCAACCTCTACAACATTCAAATGAGCACCATATGTCAGGCTTGCAACAACAATTGCAACCACAGGAGTACTATCTGCGAGAGAGCCAACAGCAGCAACTACGATTAACACGTCAACAGCACCAGTTGCTGCTACCCCAAGAGAACAACGCACACGGTTACCGACAGCTTCAACTAGTGCGACAAATAGAACACCACCAGCAACTGCAACCCCAGGAGCACTACCCACAAGGAGGCCAGCAGCAGCTTCAACTGCAACCACAACTGCAGCCTCGTCATCAACAGAAAATGGAGTATTCCTCGTTAAGTCAACAACGACAAGTAAATCAACAACAACAACAGCAACAACAACAACATACACACCAACAAAAATTACCAGAACAGCAGCATCAGCAGTCAAGTCAACAACGACAAGTAAATCAACAACAACAACAGCAACAACAACAACAACAGCAGCATCAGCAGTTACCAAAACTACAACGACAAGGACACGGGCAACGACAACAACAACAGTATTATCAAATAAGTCAACAAAACGGAAATATACAGCAAGAGCTAATTCAAGAACCAAAACAGGCATCGCAACATCAACAGCAATCTCAAATACAGCAACTAGATCAACGTATTCAACATCCACACCACCCGCAAGAAAAACAACAGAAACAACGGCATTCACGACAGCAAGTGAGCGATTTGAAACCAAACCTACCGAAACAACAAGAAGGAAGAAGCACACAAAACGATACAGTGTTAGATAATGGATCATATACTCTATTGCAAACCCCTGTAAAGAACACCCATAGTTCCTTTGGTCACATTGATAATACAAATCAAGAAATCCAGGGGAATGGGCCTCTCCTTGGATTGAGTAACAGTGTACCCCAAGGACTACTCTCCGAATATCTCGATCGTCGAGGTAATACGACAGCCAGTCACCGACATCGTGCCGTGTTAGAATCAAACCAAGGGCCCGCTATGCGAAATGGAGTAGCAGTAGATTCTAATTTAGGTCCAGTTGAAATGCCGCGTAATAGTGGTATAGATCCTGGTCATAGAAGCCCACTCATATTGCACCCTTCAAGCAAACAAATGTTAAATATACCAAATTCAGAAATCGGGATAAAATCACAGCCTAACCCTCTGTCAAACAATTTACAAAGACAGGAACACGTTCATGACGCGGGTAGATATCCTATTCCCCCTAAAGTAAATGCTGCCAGAGGTTCTGTTGACAGCCAAATGACCCCTTGGAGTGGGTCCTTTTCGGACATCGGCCATAGAAGACATGATATGCAATCACATGGAAATATCGTCAATTATAAAGGTAACCCCAACACAAAATATCAAAATATTAATAACGGTGGACAGGTACTGCAGGCACAAGAACCGAAAGATGCGCCTTACAAAGATAATCCAAAATCCGGTAAAAACATATATACCAACACACAATTCTATCCTGACCAAACAAATAACCATGGACAATTACAATACGCAAAGTCCGCAACCGTTAATTCCCATCCTTCACGTGTCCAAAAGGCGCATCGTGGTAATATGATCCCAGATCAATCACCAACGCAGATGGAAGTAAATCCAATATACGTACATGGCAATGATGTAGTACCCGGACAGAACGAGCCAGCTCCAGCGTTGGATAGATCATCTACTAGGTGGGGCCTTGATCGGCATACAGATATGAATAGTGGCACTAGACATGCTGGTGTTTACAATCATCAAGATTCAACATATCCAATCATAGAGCACAATATAGATTCAACTAGCATCGATAGTGGAAAGACGCAAAACAATGGAAAACCAATCACTGCCAATGTCAACAGGCGCTTAACAATTGCCCAACCAAGTATGAATGTATATGCTCCAAAACAAGCGGTTGTCCCATCCTTGGCTGAAGTTTCGACAACTCAAACTGATGCTTATGAAGGGTCTAATCAGAATGTCTCTTCTCTGGCATACAGGCACTTTGGCCATGTCCAAGAACATCATTCGCAACAGCATCAACGACATATACACCAAAGACAGCAGCCAGAACAGCACCATCAACATTCACACCAGGCTCAAGGTCAACAGGATCAACAACAGTCCATTCGACAGCAAATTAAAGAACTACAACCAAACCCCCTGATGCACCAGGAACGAACAAGAGCACAAACGGATATTCCGTTAAATAATGACCCCATTATTCGCAGTGGTGTTCAGATGCTATCTCTTGAAAACCAGAACAATTTCCATAGTTCTACTTCTAATAATGGAAATAAAGCAATCTCTGGGCGCGAGCCTCTCTCCACCAAGAGTAACAACACCGTCCAAGGACGATACCCCGAACATTTAGACCGTCAAAGTAGTATGGGAGCTAGTTACCAACATCATAATCTGTTAGAAACAAACCAAGAACTATCCATGCAGTCGCTGTCACATACAAGTAATGTTATGGGACACGGACAACACGACCCAAATAATGCTCCAAACCCGAGTTCTTACACTGATAATAGAACACCCGAAAATACCCAATACACATTACATCGACCAGGCCAACAAGGCACAGGGGCATTTGCCCCCAGACAAAACGAACCTCCACAAATCTCACAAAACCAAGCTTCTCTTAATAACACCGCAACAAATTCGAATAACTATGCTACACAGGCTATTGACCAGACGCAGTTTGTAGATCAAAATGGTCCCTCGCAGTTGAGTTCATCGAAAGCATATCAGGCTGGCTCTGATCCGATTATGGACACTGTGAGACAGGAAGCTGCTGGTCAGTGGCATGATTCTACCGGTTTAAGTCAATCAAGAGATTTCGGACAACAAATACACGAACCGTATTCGCAACACCAGCCATCCCCTTTAAATCAACATTTCGACCAACCTCATCAACGGAAAAATTATCCTGACACGACCAACATAGACAGCCACGGTCCACGGCAAGGTGGGCATCAAAGCGAATATTATCGAGGCAATCAGTTTCCAGCACCTAATGAATACATTCCACCAAACCAGTATTTTCCCGCTCACCAGTACCCCCCATCCCCAGAATCAAACGCGCATGCGGCACTACCGTCACATCTGCATTTGCCATCATCCAATCTGTATTCACCACCCTCTAACGAGCATTCACAATTGTCCGATCAGTATCCACTAGTATCCGATCAGTATCCACTAGTATCCGATCAGTATTCGCCATTATCCAACCAGTATGCACCGCCATCAAACCCGTATGCACCACTACCCAACCCGTATGCACCGTCATCCAACCAGCATCTATCACTATCGGATCATTATTTTCCACCAGCGGATCAGCATTCACCATTATCCAGCCAGTATGCACCGCCATCAAACCAGCATGCAACAGATTCCAACCAGTATCCACCATCCAACCAGTATTCTCCACCAATAGACCAGTCCAACCAGTATGCACCGCCATCAAACCAGAATGCACCACAATCCAACCAGTATCAACCGCCATCTAACCATCATCTACCACCATCCAACGAATATGCTCCACCACAAGACCAATATTCACCGCCATACAACCAGTATCCGCCTGCACCAAACCAGCATCTACCACCACCCGACCAGTATCTTCCACCACCAAACCAGTATCCCCCACCACCAAACCAGTATCCTCCACCAGTAACCAGTACAAAGATCTTGGTATGAACTGTTTGGTTCTCAACCAAAAGTACATTCAACGGAAACCAGGAGATGGTAAACACAGCATTCATAAACTTCCGTTTGGGTCTTTTCTATTGGGTCTATTTTTATTGATACTTATAAACAATATTTTATTCACATTTGTAGCTATATAGGGGTTGGGTAACAGGCGTGATAGCCTATTGTTTTTGATTTGGATTGCACCTAATTCATCATCAAATGTTATAGTTGTATGTATATATCTATTGGTCTAACGGTTTGTAACATTCTTGTGTATATAGATTAGAATTGATATACATGTTAGATAAACGTTCTTAATATATAAATGATACCCCCTAGATAAAGTTGAGAGCAAAAGGGTACGGATAAGTACCGCCATAAACGGTATTCTAGTTTAGGCTTACTGTTTCTAGAACACACTATACAACTTCTCATTTATTCAAAATATTTTTTTGTGTTGTCGAGCAATCTTCCAGTCAGAAGTCATTGTTGTTGGAGGCAGCACCGTCAAAGAACTGTGTAATGATAATTGTTCGATATGTAAAATAATATATCACCTAATAACACATTGTACAGTAAATACCGCTTGTGTGATAACGTTCATATCCTACTTAGCGATATCTCTTAAGAGATATTACTTTATATAAAATAAAATATCTACTAAAGAATTATATTTATTTATTTGTGCGTGTAAAAAAGGGTTGGGTGACAAATAAAATCTTCTATATCAGAAAGACTCCTAGGGGATTCTTTATATATGGTGCTTTAGAAAGAGTATGTTCTCGGTCGTTTACCTAATACTAGGTTCCCACTATCACGATTCGTGCCGCGATTGAATTCGTGGTTTTAATCGTGGAGTAATCGTGGTAATCTTATCAGGTTTTATCACATATTGAGGCCAGTCGTAACAACCGTGTATCAAAACGTATCTGCACGTACCAGATCGTGGACTCAATAGAGACAATCCTATCGTAACGCATCGCACGACCACTGGGAACCCAACATATATCAAAAACAGTTACCTGTGTATCGCCGACCCTAAACCCTTTTTTCCTATTTCCCAGATTTCCCAGGTCCTGTAAATAGGTATTGGTGTGAAACGGGGGTGGGGGAAGCGTAATTAAATAATTTCAAGACCATGGGACGAATTTTTACTCTTAGGTTGACTTTGTGCAAGCTGAAGATGGAGTGATCCCCCTTTACCGCTTTATGGATTTAGACCACAAATAAGAAAAAACAATTCAGCCCAACAACGCTGTTTCATTGGTTGTAGAAATAAAACAACAGCTTTTGACATAAGATGCCATTCATTTGATAAATGACGGTGTTATCAATATTATAAAATTTGCATAATATGCAATAATTATGGCAAATTGTTCAACCTTTCAAAGATGGGGTGCTGAATTCCATAATAAATCAAACGTGTGACCTTCAATCCCCAACCTCTGAAATTTCATGCTTCAGTATCGCTCTTTTCAAACTACCGTAATACAATTTCATACCCACTGGGAAAACTTATTCCACCCATTACGTTAGGTAATTCTAAATCCTCTGAATTCACAAAATTCTCACTTCCTTCCTGCAGAAATTTGGTCTTCTAACGACACACTCCCGGAGGATTAAGTGACAGATGGTTATGTAATGAAACAACACCAAAATACCAACGCTTGACAACCCCCCCCCCCCACGCTTTAATTCCAGACCGGAATTAAACCATTTTGGACTGATATTCCAACTAGACATTCATCTTTCATAATATGTTTTGTGTTATATTAATTTCAACAATCACCAATGACTAGTTCGTCTTTATGATCCCCCTTGTCAGTGATACAGGACGGAGGGCCTGACAAGGACAACTGTCTAGTCCTTCGGATGATACAAAAAACCGAGGTCCCGTGTATACATTGGAATGCACATAAAAGATCCCTTGGCAGTTGGAATTCGATATAAGAGTAGGCGATAGTGCCGCTGCCTGGGCAAAATTTCCCCCATAGCACACTGTATGGCGTATGCCCGTCTTCATTAGCCCAGTATAGGGGCAGAACAGTAGGACGTTAAACCCCGTTTCATTTCATTTCATTTTCGTCTTTATGGTATGTGTATTTATTGCATTGGGGGCTTAGATTATGTGAGATCTGAATAATCCCAGGTTAGTCATAATGTGCAATATAACGCGACAGCAACATACCCGAGTACACGAACAAAGTGAGTGGCAAAGCTACTTAAATTCGCTTCAGTAGATTATATTTCGTTGTGTTCTTTTATTCATTTCAAATGATTTCATTTAGTTATTTCGTTTCGGTAAATTTCGTTTCATCTCAATTTCATGTAGTTTGACAATTTACAGAAACCTCCAGACTTGAGGACTTTAATACTTTAAAGGACAATATTGGTGCCAGTCATTATCACATATGTGATAGAGCTGGTTAAACACATTCCAGATATAATTTTAACACAGAGATTATTGCTACGATAGCTGAGTAATACAGATTTCCTGAATCGGAAGTGACGAACGCCAAAGGAAACACGAGTCATCTCTCTATATAACTGACTGATTACTTAGCTATCGTAGCAATGCTCTCTTTCTTAAAATTATATTTGGAATATGTTTAACCAGCTCTTTCACTTAAGTGATAATGACTGGCACCAATATTGTCCTTTAAAGGGACAATAACACCCTCGCTGGCTTGACAGGTCCAGAAAATAAATAATAGCCTTATTCTAAGTATTAGATGTTTAAGAGTCCTACCTGTTGTGTAAATTATCTATTACATCCTATTTTACTTGTCCAAAGGGTTCGAAAATATTTTAAAATCCAAGTCACATTTGAAAAGGTTTACGTTAGGCTTTTCAAATCATTTAGTTGAATTTTTCCAATTTTTTAAATTAGATGTGTTAGATGAAATTTGTATCATCAATTAATTGGAATATTGTAGAATAGTACAATTTGTTGACCAGAATAAAGATTGGGACATATTATTCAGTTACAACAAGAGTGGTATTGAGTCTTTAATAACGAGGAGTGTCGTATTCTAGAAATAATATTGTACAGCATGCGCAGCGAGGTACATGTGTGTACCCAATGCCGCGTCGTACGTGACACGAACCTCGTTTTTATCTCTAATTTCCTAATATTTTTGCTTACAGTTGTTATCAGATATATCTGAATGGATTGTTATCTATATACATCAGTATGTCGAAGAGACGAACGACTACATCATCTGAAATATTTATACACATATAACATTTAATTTGATAACTAATTAGCTTTAATTACACAAATCAAAAACAATAATATGTAGACCTTTATACACAGAGACGGTAATTATAATTATAAAGCTATTATTATTAGTCATATAGTCTATGATTAATACGTATTAAATATCTAGTATAAATATTATAAATATTTCTCTACACGCATCATGAGATTGCTGCAGTTCAGATAGATAACAAGCGCTGACGATTTTTAGATATTTAAACATGGAATTTTATGGAATTTCTATTTCTGTCATCTGCAGTGTTCTTTTCACAGCTTTATTGGTATGTTAAATATTAAATTTTTAAAATAGTTTACTGATTTCTTAGCTAAGGCCATGCCAATTTTAATTTCTGTTTTTCGGGAGTCTTGATAAATAAAAAGCCACATGAATTCTATGAAAGTTATATCGTGTAAAGTTTAACACTTTAAACAAAATGTAACTAAAAGCTTTTGAATAGCTAAAAGAGTAGTTTCCTCGACGAAATAAGAAGGGAAATTTTGACAAGTGTTCCCGATGAACAGAAAATTAAATTGGTGTGGTCTGAAGTTTAAATGAAAAGAAATGAAATGAAATTGGGTTTAACTTATACTGTTCTGCTCCGAACTGGGCTACTGAAGACGGGCATACGCCATACAGTTTGCTATGAGGGGAATTTTGCCCGGACAGCGGCACTATGGCCTACTATTATATCGAATTCCAACTGTCAAGGGATCTTTTACGTGCACGCCAATGTGTACACGGGACCTCGGACTAGACAGCTGTCCTTGTCAGGCCCTCCGTCCTGCATCATTGACAGGGGGGGGGGGACTACGCCGGAAAATCTGGAGGAAGTTTCTCGGCCAATGCAGGGATCGAAGACCCGACCTCCAGGCTAGCGAGCCAACGTCTTACCCACTTAGCCACCGTGACCCCCTAAAGTGTTTAAATATTGAATAAAATGTATATTATGAATTCAATGGGTTTTTTGGGGTTTTTTTATTTTACAGATCAATGGTCAAACAGCAGACGGTAGGGACTAATTTTTATTTAAAAGTTTATAAACGTCATTCGAAAGAGAGGGTTGTCTTAGTGAGACTACATCACACTTGACAGTTTGAGACCAAAGCTCTGTGGAATATAGACCGCATTCTTACGCCTTACTATCCAGCTGTAATTCGGCATCATTAAGGTGTCGCAATCGTGCCGCCTGACGCCACATAATGGAGGGCGGACTTATGGGGTGGGGGGCAGTGAGTCATAGTTACTCGAAAAATGTTTGAAAATCTGACAGTAAAAAATTTTTGATTGAGTATGTGTAATGTACAAAACCTCCAGAGACTGCTTTACTTATCAATTCACCAAAAACGTAAATGCAAGAATTAATAAGGTGGGGGGGGGGGCTCACAACTGCGTGAGAACATTAACTTCTGTAGGGGCCCCGGAGCCTACCGCACTGACAGGCTCCTTCCCAGGCCACCCTTTACTTAATCTTTCCCTAATCGTCCACATTAAAAAACATGAATTAGAATTAGTCTATTTCAATCAATATTGATGTTGTTATCAAAATCTGAAAAAATGTTCGCTTGAACATTTTAAAATCAGGGACGACGCTGTGTAATCTATGGTTTCGAGTGCCATTTGTAATGTAGTAGCTTGAAGAAAAAAATATCTGACGTCATTGCTGAAGTATGGCATTTCCACAACCGATTTAAAGATAAACTTCCATTCATTTTGGACCGCTCAAGTATTTCGCCGAACATAACTAAAAGACGTTACAATGTAAATGTGCCTTTCAACCCATTTTTGTCTATTTCAAGGTTCCAACAAATATAGTTTTAGCTCCTTTAAACATTGATAAATTTACATTCATTATTTTCACAGAATGTGGAGGTTACGCCGCCGATGTCATGTTTCTATTAGATACATCTTCCAGCATAGAAATAGACGACTTCCGGAAACAACTACAGTTCACCCAAGATGTCGTCAAGATATTTGATATTGGACGTGAACGTACGAAAGTTGGCGTAGCCTTGTTCAGTGACACGGTATACCCGCAATTTGACTTAAATGCATACAATAGTAAAGGCCATATAGTCGACCGAATTGGCAAAATAGGTTACCGTGGTGGACGTACCAATACAGCCGAGGCCCTTTCGTTTCTTCGCACGAAAGTCTTCACTCAAGATCAAGTGAGGCAAGGCGTTCCCAGGATAGCCATTGTACTAACTGATGGCCTTTCAAATTACCCGGATGAAACAGTGAGAGAAAGTAAAGAATTGCACCTTAATGGTATTACGGTATTCGTTATCGGTATCGGTAATCAAACGGACACTAACGAACTCAAGGCCATTGCTTCTAATCCAGATTCAGAATACGCGTTTCATGTGAACAATTTCGATGCTTTGTATTCAGTCAAGAAAACTTTAGCAGTTAAAACATGCAAAGGTAAGCCCGCTTTATCAACCCAACACTCTGCACACATAGAACTATCTACTTTGAGAATAGATCCCTATCCTGACTGGTCGCCATATTCAAAAAATGATTGTACCACAAGTTTTTTTTTGTAATGTGGTGATAATCCGTTTTACATCTTTCATGAAATCCCAACACTATTGATGCACAGTCAGTATGTAAAAATCCCATCTCATCCCTATTGATGCACGATCAGTTTATGGAATTCCCAACACTATTGATGCAGTTATCTCGTGTATACTATTTCCTAATAATCCGTTTATAATAATTGTATCTAATTTTGAACAATCATGTTATTTGATGGAAATGCTGTCTCTGTTAATGCACGATTATTTGATAAACGTCACATCTATTGATTCACAATTAGTTCATAGCAATCTTTTTTTTTTATAAACAATATTTTTATTCAGATTTGTATCTGGGGAAGAGACATAGCCTCGGTTGGTCTACAATTAGTTCATATAAATCCCACTTCTGTTGGTCACAATTAGTTCATATAAATCCCACCTCTGTTTGTCCACAATTAGTTCATATAATCCCACCCCTGTTGGTCTACAATTAGTTCATATAAACCCCACCTCTGTTGGTCACAATTAGTTCATATAAATCCCGTCTTCATTAGCCCAGTTCGGAGCAGAACAGTAGGACGTTAAACCCCATTTCATTTCGTTTCATATAAATATCACCCCTGTTGGTCCACAATTAGTTCATATAAATCCCACCCCTGATGGTCCACAATTAGTTCATATAAATTCCACCTCTGTTGGTCACAATTAGTTCATATAAATCCCGCCACTGTTAGTCACAATTTATTCATACAAACCCCACCTCTTTTGGTCACAATTAGTTCATATAAATTCCACCTATTGGTCTACGGTATCTCTAATGATCAACAATCAGCGGAGAGAAATCCTACCCAATTGATGCACAGTTAGTTTATAATAAAATGAATTGCGATTATATTTCAGTGGAATTTATAGAACCAGTGATACAGCAAGATATACTGGATACTGATAAATTTTTCCCTGGTAAGTGACAACATGGCAATATTTAAAGGAGCTAAGTCTCTAACTCAATATTATCCAAAATCTTCAACATTGAAAACACGATTTATTTGTCAAATTAAATTAACATTCATGTTGTGATCTTACCGGAAAAAGATGGGCTTTTGATATCCAATATTTAAGACAAAATAAACATTTTACCATTGGTACACGAATCTTGTACCATAATGCGCTTCAGCCCCAGATGTATCAAGAGACTCGAATGACGAGGCTAGACATATTGCACCAAATCAAACGGCGTGTAGACTGGAATAACCAGACGCTAGAAATTTGCACTCGCTTGAGACTGCTGGCTTATTTCGCCAAACATAACTGATTTGAAATTGGAGTAAAAACGGAAACCATTGAATGTAAATCAGTTTATATACATTCATATTACAGTATTATATGCGTTGCGACCCACTTTTGTCATTTCTAGGTCCCAAATGTTAGCTATTTAGCTCCTTTAAATCTGTACAACTCTAGTGATATTATGGTCATGCACGTATTTCGTTATATAGCTTGTTTTAAACATCATACATGTAAATATTTAAAAAAGTGAGTTGTTCGTGTCAATCGTTGTCACGCAGGTTTTGTGTGGCCAAGCTTAGTATTTCTCTAGTTTAGCATACATAATAGTCGGTACAATTTGTTTACGTTTCGACCCATGATGATGTCCGCACGCATATACTATTTTTCAGTAATTATTAATTATAAAACAAAATATTTAGAATTTTAAAAATACACTGATATGTTTATATAACAATTTTGTGGTGTCAAAAGTAAAGAAACATGCGTACTAAGTTTGATTTAGACCAATCGAATACCAATTCATCTTGAACCTGGGTGACCGGTTGTTGAGTGCGCATTAAAATTCAGTCGTGATCTGTGATTTGTTTGGGATCTCATTTGAATTAATTAAATAAAAGTTTTGTAAAACACAAACAAGATTTTGTTTTAGCGAAATATATTGTAACCAGCTAATCTGTCATGATTGTTTTACAACTTTTTATAAAACTTGTCCTCTAGGCTATATGGTTTCATAATATGTTAAAGGTCGCTTATATGGAGTTGTGTACCTTTAACTGTGTTGTCAACATGATTAATTCTACAATAGCTCAAGGACGAAAGCGGCCCGGACATTCATCAGAGTTAAAATACAGATGTGACGTCATCCTTTGATGTTGGCGTACCATTATTTCAAATAATGGTACGGGCAATGTGCCAAGCGTCCATTATTTATAGTTGCAATATTGGACGTATTTCATTGAAATGTACGTGCTGGATAGTGTCTGTATTTTGTTTAATGGTCTCGTGCAAGATATTGCGTAATATATGGATATTGCACTCGTGCTATCGCACTTCATGTCTCGCACTCTACCATTAAACTACACATATAATATGATCTGCCTGGATGATCAAGTCTAATCTTTTCATTTCGTTCGGGTTTTCATTCTTTCGTTGCGTTTTAGCTGTTAGTCTACGTTTAGATTTAAAGATTACCTATAACTGTTTGAATTTCACCTAGACAATGGGATTGACACTTTGCCCTCGCCGTAAACTGTGGTGTCGTATGGGCGTATGGCAGTCGATAAATATGTTCTTAAACCTATATTATTATTAGGGGAGTGGAGTCAAACGAATTATAAATGCAAAACTATGTAAAGACTTATTAGTGTCATTGAAGTATGTTTCAAAAAGTTGAGGATAAGTATTATGCCGATTCATTTAAACGCGATATATATATATATACAGTTTCAGCGGCAAAGAACTGAGAAGAAATAGTTTTCAAAGGAGATTGGATCGTCGTGGGGCGAAAGGCGCACGCTTTAGATCTTAAGGTCTGTCATTCAGTCAAATGGTGTGGTGGCAAAGATTTGGGGTGCATATTTGGAAATAATAAATATCAATATTATGATAGAGCGTAATGTGTTTGAGACAGTTAATGAGTAGAAAATTATTTAAAAAAAAACACTGACTATCCCCTGGCCACCAACTCTCAGAAAAGCCATAAATAGAACCGCGAAACGAATATTATGTATACAACTGAATTTTGGGTTTTATTGTTTGAAATGATGCAAAAGGTTTCTATATGTGGGTGTTCCATTTCATACGTGTGTTCAGGGCGGACTAGATAGCCATGGGCTCTCGGACAACCGGTTTTCTTGGGTCTCAATCGTGGTGAAGAATGCTTGACATGATGGGAATTGAAACTATAGCTTGATTCACGTTTCTCGCACCCGATCCGTAAATGATATATCTCCTCCGATTTAGGTCATTATATTTTTCAGTGGCTGCAAAGATGAATTTTATTTAATTTTCGAAAAGATATTTGTCAAATTTTTCTCCAATCGGTGCCGATGGGCCCCTGATCCCTGAGATTTTAAAATGGTAAAATATGTTGTTGTTGTTGTTGTAGGTCGACTACCGTGTACCATCAGTATAGTCTATGGAGCAGACGTCAGAAGTGCTAGTACCAGAACTACCAGGCAGATCATGTCATTCTTTACCTTGTTAAACGACCGGCTGCAGGATGATTTATACAAGGTTCGGTCAGCACAGGTCATCAACAACTGCCCTACTTCACGTAGATATGTGCCTACACCAAGAAAAGGAAAAAATTACGCCACCTTGCTTCTTAATATGCGTCAAGCCTCGCCAGCATCCTTACCAGCGATAAAGAACCCCGGCAAAGCCATGAGTATTCTGTTAGTTGACACAAGTATCGCTGATCTAGCCAGTTCCAGTAAAGAGGTTTTGAGGGCACGCTTTAAACGTATCGATACATTCGTGGTGGTCGTTGGAACAGAAGCTAGCCGTGGTGTGTTAGAAAGGTTGTTAAGATTTAGAGTTCATACTGCCAGTTTCGGCCAACATGTTTTTGCGGTAGATAATTATGATAAGCTAGAAGCAGCCATCTCACCTCTATTGGGATACATCAAGAAATTGAAGTGTAGTTAAGCGTGAAACAATTTCTGACTATAGACATTTGTAGATAGATTATGTATTGTAATATGTGTTGATCCTCTTAAGAACCCTCTTCCCGGCCATGCTAATATTATAATTGTAGAGCCTTTCTAAAAGCATGCGCCTCACATTGTTTCCGCTTATACTCTCTACCCTGTTGGACCATCGTTTTATGACGCTACACTCTCTATATGGACCATCGTTTTATGACGCTATATTCTCTACCCTGTTGTACCATTGTTTTATAACGCTATATATACTATCTACCCTGTTGTACCATCGTTTTATAACGCTATACTCTTTACCCTGTTGTACCATCGTTTTATAACGCTATACTATCTACCCTGTTGAAATAAAATTGAACCATATGTTAGTCCCGAAATGACCTAGTTTGTGTCGAGAGGTTAAACACTCTATCCTGTTGTACCATGTATATATTGTTGTCCAAGATGACTTATAAGAATACTTTATGAGACTAATGAATAAAAAACGACAACGTATTAATTGAAAGTTGATTATATGGAAACGAGCTTTAATAGTAAGTGTGTGTGTGTGTGGGGGGGGGGGGGGTACCATACATAAAAACCAAATAAAATAGATCGCAGTAGCACAAAGCAGCGGACAAGATAAAAAAAAAACCACTAAACACACGGACTGTTGGAAACATTGGTTGTATTTATGGGATATATTTAACGTCGATTTCGATCTATTATCAAACGCATAAAGAGTTTCAAATAATATATCGTTTCTTTGTATACTTTGCTGACTAATCAAATACAACACTTAATAGCACTGATAACGTAAAGAAAGGGCGAGGGAGGTGTCAGGGGCACTAAATGGTGGGGGTTGGGGCGAAACTTGTCTACTGCTTTGAAAAGTAATTATTTTTCTGTCGGGGAAATGAAATGGGGTTCAACGTCTTACTGTTCTGCTCAAACTCTAGGCTATGGCTCACTCTTATATCGAATTCCAACTGCCAATGGATCTTTTACGTGCACGCCAATGTGTACACGGGACCTCAGTTTTTTCGTACAATCCGATTGACTATACGTTGTCCCTTGCCAGGCTCTCTGTCCTGCACCACACCGGAAATCCCGTGGCCCATTTTTCTGTTAGGACAGTAGAAGGACGTCTGACATGAACATTTTCCCACATTGGTTTAACAATTTAAGTATTGTAGCCGAAGCATTTAGTGCTACTAGATATGTCGCCTTGGGTTTGGGATTTGGTGTGAAACACGTAACAAACTGGCCTTTGGTATTAATAATTAATAACAGATTCAGGAATTGGTGATACATGGACGAGGTTTGGAGCGATTAACCTAATACGTTCATATATACATTAACGCTGAATGAAAAATATACGGTTTAAACACCCATGTCTTGATTGAGAATACAAATGAATCATCATGGCTATGAGCTCGGATTGTTAACTTAAATATGCGGGTCTAAAATGCTGCCATTGCTCAAGGAAAGCGAAAAAACCCACGAGCTTGTCACGTACAACCAGGGAATCGAAACCACGCCAGCTGACTCAATGACAGACCTTATGATACAGCGCGCACGTGCTAACCAATCGGCCATCCAACCCCCCAACCCCCAAAATGACAGAATCTTACGTGTCTGATGTAATATAATTCGAAATAATTATGTACAATTGGGAATGCTTGTATATTTTACATGTTGTGCGAAGCCACAGTAAACGAAATTAAATACCAAAATATCTAATTCTCTTTGAAGAGAATTGTCGACCATTTTGATTGTTTCCCTTTATTTTTTAAGATTGGCCAAATAAAGTGCCCGAAATCTAACAAAACACTAATTTTACTTTTCTTTTAATTGAATACCACGAATTTGTACTGAATTGACTATGGATTAAAACATTTTGTCTGGAACCAATCTTATTCTTTGTGTGACATATTTCATTGATTATTGTTTGTGAATGCAGCTGCAGCAGTCCAGATTGGATAATCGGTATTCAGGTCGGCATAGAATGGGATTTCGGTTGCAAAACCATTGTACAACTTTGAAGTTGCTCAACTCACGGGCTAGAATAGCAGATAAACGGATTTGCAGCGGTTAAATATTCTCGGGGATGGCCAGGCCCCTATTCCTCGCGGCTCCGTGGACTAAATGATTGATTGGTTATTTGAAATTCAGGCCAGCCACAAGGCAATATGGACCACGTTCAAGTGCGGGATGGAATTAAGGAAAACACGTTTTCCAAATTTTCATGGGGAGGCCCCTACACAGTAAACCCCGCGCTTTCGGCGCTCGCTAATGACCGGCACGGCCGTCTATAAAAGGGGATTTTATTCGGTTATTTGAGGTCTGACATCCGGTGCCGACTCTAAATGATTATATCATTGAATGGAATTCTGGTCAGCCAGGGAATTTTTTCGAGCATTTCAGGTGTGCTCCCCCCACTCCCCCCCCCCCCCCCCGCCCCAACATTCATCAGACTCGTACGCTTATGCATGGGTGGTAGTAATAACGCAATCCGTCTTATTGTTAAAATTTGGCGAGAAATGTCAAAAGCGGTTAGCTCATACATCACTGGTGGTCATGTTGACGTAACTTTACAGCAATGTTGCAACGTCGGAGAATTACGACATGCCATGACTTTTTAGTTCACTATTATTTCTTGGAGCAGAAGACAGAATTTGCCTATGACGTAATACCTTATTAATTTAAAGACGTTAACTCAGTAGTTAAGAAAGACATACAGTTACATAGTGTGGCTTGTTAAGTTTCTGTTAGTGTCACTTCTGGTATACATCCCGTGTTTACACTGGGAAAGTGTAAAGCCGAGGGAGTAAGGGGTGAAAAGGCTCAAGTTTAAAACTGGCCACAATACTGTCCAGGTAAGACTATTTTTTTTTAAAAATAGTATAACCACGACTCGGTTTATTAAACAGGTCGGTTTCCGGCCAAGTGGTGCAGATAAACCATGTAAATAGTCGCCGTAGGTGCAACGAAATCAATAAAATGAACAATCGCAGTTTTCCGAATGCCCAATGGTGTCCAAAAGCGAGGACCGTCAACATTTGAGAATAATAGGTCATTGGCTAGATTATCCGGCCTTTTACGTTATCATGAGCAAAGTCTAAGGGAGGTAATGACCGAAGTATTGTTTGAGTTGTATAACCTGATCCAAGTGTTTTTATTTTGGGGAATTTTAAATACCGTAATGATAAATAAATGGTTTCGGGTGTTTTCGAAATGGTGTATACACATCACTAACCATGGCTTCCATTTTCTAATCGTATTAAGAGTTTGCTAACGGTATGCCCCCACTGTCTTGTGATGCGTTACGATGGGTTTGTCCACAAAATATAAGATCTGACAGGACCACCACGGTTACTTCACGATTAAAACTAAGATTTCAATCGTAGCGCGAATCGTGATAGTGGGAAACTACCATAAGGCATTATAATTTATTCCATCATGGCGCCAACAATTCTTGCTTTATGTGTACTTTATTTTAAACTTTACAAATAATGTTCTTAAAGATGCATTATGTTAGAGCTAAAGCTGCCTATTGCATTTCTTTCTTTTGTCCTCAAGTGTTATATAAAAGCTATTAATTAGACATTTATTCACATGACAAGCCCATAATCACCGCCTTGGCTATCGGATGGTCGTGATTTTCATCGATTGGAACACGATCGCCACTTAATGATTTAATTTCAAAATTGATAATCGAGATTTTGTTAATTATCGTAACAATGGTAGCAATCGAAATCGAGACTACGTTATTTTGATCAAAACTTCAAAAAGTCATAATGTCGCTCAGAATAAAGTAATTTGACTGAAATTTTCAATTTATTCCCTTTTCATTATCCATTTTTAAACAATTATAGCAAGAACTGCCAGCTCTGTGTCTGGGATAAATAGTGCACAGAGCGAAAGCGGGGATACTAAAATGGGCATGTATATGGTGGCTCATAGTGGCCATGTTACATTTCCACGTTTTCTAAACCCAAAAACAGTACGACATATTTAAAGTATAGGGAGAAGACATGACCAATTTTAATTTGAAAAACTTCGTAACGTTGTGTTATTGACTACACGCTTTGGTCTCTTTCAACAAAATACATAATGTTGCCAGAACTATAGAAGGAACTCATTATATTATGCAAGAAGTTGAATAAATAAATACAAATAATGCTTGTACCAAAGAGAATTAAATTATTATGCATATTATTTTCCTCAAAGCAGTGAAATATTTTACGCACAAAACTAAATTATTTTTGATATTATTCAAGTAATTTAGAAATACAACATTATAACAGACGTTAGTTACCTATGTTAAAGATACATTAGTTAAGACTTTAATAAAGAATTGGCCATTCTTCGATAATAATTCCAAAATAGATGATAAAAAAGAACATTGAAAATTTCAGTCAAATTACTTTATTCTGAACGGAGTTGACACGGTTGGAAGTTTGGGCCAGAAATAGGCATCAACTGAATCTACGAGTCTACGAGAATTGCTGATCATTTGATTGACAGACGATAACTCCACCCAAATATTCTCGATTATCAAATAACATCCTCAATTTCTATGGTACCCTCGCTTGGTAAGCCTTTCATCACCAGTTTCCGGTATTGACGTCAGTGACTAACAGTAAACGTTAGCTTGGTCGGCCATTTCTTGATTTAATTTTAAATGGACGACTGTTTAAATCCAACCTGTATCCAAGCCATCCGAGGGTCTACATAGTTGATTTTGAGCTTGTCATGAAAAGGTCTAATTAATAATTTCTATAACATCTGAAGCCTAAAGAAAGAATTGCAATAGGCAGATTTAGCTCTTGCATAATGTATGTTTAATTCCTCAAATGAGAAGTACTATTCACTACTAGCAGGATACCCGGCTTCGCTCGGGGGTCATAACTCCGAAACCGGAAGTGGTAGACTAACGCCACCTGGCCTATGTTACTCCCCGGTCCGAGCTACCCCTATACCCTAAATTTCAGACTCGGGGCAGACCTAGTGTAGCCGTCAATCCCGAACAGACAGACAGACAGACAGACAAACGACAGTCATAAATATATAGATAGATAGATAGATAGATATTATGTAACGAAATAATAATTCTTTAGAACGAATTAATACGTTTAAACGACTGAACGTACTTTAGAATTTCGTTAATTTCTGTATCTAATCAAACAATTTGCTAAGTTGGACTTTTGAAAAATGTAGCATTATGACTATTCGACATGGCTATATAACTGATATAAATGGTAATTATTGAGCACGTGGCTTTGATTTAGCGTAACGAGATCTGTTAATACGTATGAATCAAATGCCAAACATATTAACATTTTATTCGCTAGGGTTTAAAGACCTACTGTTATGCCCCGATTGGGCTAATGAAGACCGACATACGCCAAACAGTGTGCTAAGAGGGAAATTTTGCTACGGCCTACTCTTATATCCAATTCCAACTGCCAAGGGATCTTTTACACTTACCGCCCCTCGTTGCTCTGAGCTAGTTACGGCCCTGGGAATTAAATCTCAATATTTTCCATAATATTCGTAATTAAAAACACGAATTAGAAATCAATATTGGTCCATATAAATGGCGTTATCTTGCCGTGAAAATACGGTATCTTAATATTCAATATTTAAGACACAATGAACATATTATAATAAGTACACAAGTCGTGCATACTATGGATTCAGGCGCCACTTGTTATGAACACAGAATAACATAACTTACGGAAGTAGCAATGGCTGATTCACAAATTTAAAAAAAATAGTGTAATAATGACTAAGCAGGCATATACGACTGTAGTTTAATTTAGACTGTTCACATATTTTAACAAACATTTGATTAAAAATTACAATATATTATTTTTAAAAAATAGAAATTAAATAACTTTATATACATTCATATTACAGTAATATGTGTTTTTAGACTCATTTCCGTCTATTTTAGGCTAAGGTTCCAAAAAACTAGAGTCACACGCTCTTTAATAATTAAGTCAAACAATGATTAAGAAAATTTGTCCATCAATCATACTCAACCAGTACGAACTTGGGCTCATTAGAGCGGCATAAGTAACGTCATTGTATAATCTGTCCAGCCTGGGGCACAATACCAAATTTACAAAGCACACATTACACAGGAAATTGGAACTGGCAAGTTATACATCACAGCAATGTATCACACCGAAATATCTACAAAAGGCCTACAATAATGGCGCTGAGTATTAGCTTGTGTGCATTATCGTTATGTAACGGGTAATGTTATTCCCTCCCATCGCAGTACTCAGATGAAATATTAGCCCCGTTTAAACTTCGCCGCGATAAACGTGCCGTTCTCGGCACGGTACCGGGCCGCGATAAATTTCAAGAAATTTACCCGTTAAAATTAATCTACAATGACCGGTCTCGGAACTGTGCCAGGCACGCAAAATTTGGAACTCTTCACAGAAAAGTTAATTTTAGTCCCTATACAAATTACCCGGATAAAAACAGTTGTGGTGGTTGATTTAGTTTGGGCAGCCATTTCGACAAATCTGATCACAGAACTGTCAAAGGTCGCGGGAAAAAAGTTCAAGGTTCATTTGGCGTAATTCGTGCTGAGAACCGTTCTCAGACCGGATAGCGTTTACACTACAAAAATTGAACCGTGCCCTGCCCGGCACCATGCCGAGACCACCTCACTTCAGTGGGCCAAATTGGCACGGTACTCAATACGGCACGCTTATGTTTGACCCGTTTACACCACAAACAAATTAGCCGTGCCGTGCCTGGCACCCTTAAATTTGTAATGTAAACCGGGTTTTAGATGCGGAGTAGCCCCGCTTTGTCTAGAAACTGGAAGATACTAAAGAATCCACGTTGAGAACCGTCGTCTTTGTTTTTATTGTACCGATAACGT